GAGCCTGGCGCTGGCAGTGGGTGGCATTTGCCAGCATCCTCAGCCAGCGGCGAGCCCCTATTCAGCCTTGGGCACTGGCTGCTGTCCTCTTTAATTTAAAAAGTAAAGATCTACACAGTGTGTCTGCCATTGGCTATGCATCTGAGCATGCTATATGAACATCATACAATATGATCAGATGCATTACCAATGGCAGACACACTGTGTGGATCTTTACTTTTTAAATTAATGACCGCCCAGGGGCCGGCCAGAGGCTGCAGGGGCCGTCCAGAGGCCGCATTCACCGCCCAGAGGCCGCAGTGTCCAGCCAGAGCCTGCACTGAAAGCCCAGAGGCCGCACTGACCTCCGCACTGACCACTGCACTAACCGCAAGGAGCCCGCACTGACCGCCCAGGGCCCATACTGACCATTTATTTCTTATTTTAAACTGCAATAGCAGGCTGGCTATTGCACCCGGCCACTGCTTGCTGTCAATCAGCAGAGGAGGGAACTGAAGGAGAAAGTTCCCCATCAGGTGGGTGCAATAGCTAGCCTGATATTGCAATTTAAAATATCCAATAGCAGGCTTGCAATTGTTTCCAATTGGAGACTTGACACTGGTGATAGAACGCCGCCAGAGAAGGAGGAACAAGGCGGGCAGAGAAGGAGGAATGGGCAGCATTCCTGTGTACCCACTGCCTCTGCCGATACCGGCGGGGAGAGCAGCGGGGATTAAGAGGAACACAGACTGCTGCAGCCAGCAACAGTGGGTAGGAGAACGTTGACGAAAATTAGGTACCGGATGAAAATCGTTTTCGTCACATTACCATTAATTTTCGTTTTTATCACTGAAAAACGGACAAAAAACGAAGACATTAACACTGCTTGAGAGCCCGCACTGGCCACCAGAGAGCCCGCACAGCCTCCTGAGAGCCTGAGAGCCTGCACACACCCCCTGAAACCCTGCAAAGCCCTCCTGAGACCCTGGAAACATCAGACCATGAACCCGGAGGAACACAGGGTATGTAGCTTCATAGTATTCTGCATTGCTGTGTAACGTATTGCTGGGATTTGTAGTCCTCTATAGCCGGTGGTATTCTGCATTGCTGTATAATGTATTGCTGAGATTGGTAGTCTCTCTACAACTTGGAGTCAGTGGCAGATCTACTAGACTCACAGCTGCAACCAGGCCCTGGCGCTCCACCACTGACTCCAAGCTGTAGAGAGACTACAAATCATAGCCCGGACAGGAGGAAGAGGGCCCTGGTGACCTTTGACATTTGCACCAAAAGGCCCACCGAAATTCTCAGCACTAGGCCCGTGATGCTCGTAATCCGGCCCTGGGGCCCAGCCCTAAAGCTGTGTAAGGAGCCCCAAAATTTCTGATGGCTGCCCTGCCCGCGAGGTGGGGAATCTCTGCGCAGGGTGAGGCTGAGAGAGGTATCGCCACATCCTTGTGACGCCCACGCTCGGTTCAGAACAGTGTATAATCACGCGTGATTGATGTACAGCGGGTTCGGGCCGGGCGTACGTCACAAGTGGCAGAAGGAAAAACCGAAAATACAAGGGGGAGTTACACCTTTCCAAAGCTTTTTTGGCTTGTACAGTAAATGATCTTATTCAAACTTTACCATATTATTATATTTGCTGAGCGGCTAAACTTGTGTTGTATTCCAGCTCAGTTAAATTAATCTACTGGATCGGACAATATGAATTCCTGACTGAAAAAAGCACATAGAGAAGGACAATAAAGAAATATCGCTTTGCGGGTTAGTGTATTTAGTACAAGTGGTTATAAGGTTTGGCCCACTTACCAGTGAAGTTTCCTATGAAGCTGATACCAATGGAGATGTGGTTATAGTTTGTAGCGTGAGCACCAACAGTCGTCCAGCTCCGACCTACATACACAGCGCCGTCCTCACCAATGAGGAAGCTGTAAAGGAAATATTAGAAGATGAATACCCATCAGAATATTAGGCTACAAATACAAGCCAGCTCATAATACCACCGTCCTAGCACTGTGCAAATACAAAATATATATCAAAGTTGAATAGATGTCTCCTTTGTAACAAAATTTGTCTTTATTCCTAGTGGGGTAACAACAATCCAGCAGGAGCTTCCCCTGCTTATAGCGGTTGGCTTTTTCTATATTCCCTCTATCTCCTCCTTCTAAAAGAGCTGATGTGTTGGTCTGCAGTTGTCTGTTAAGTGTTATTCCTCAATGATGTGTGGTTATGCTGTAGCTACACACCGGGCTTCCATCAGGAGAACTTAAGGAGGCCCTGTCACCAGACTAGTCATTTCAACAAAAATGTTCGTATAAGATAGTATAAGGTAGTATGTGCAGTTAACATTTTTTATGTCTGTTACTTACCTGTAAAAGCCGCCTTTGTGTAGACATCCAAAACTGCTGCTGGGTGCCGCCATCTTGGATGTGATGTCCACAGCCCCAGCAGATTCAGAGCTGTCACTCAAGAGACACTCTATAGCAGGGCTACAAAAAATTAAAGTCCTGAGCTACTAGCCAGGCCTTAAAAGTTACTTGCCACCAGTTGCCCCACCTAACCCATACCCTGCCCCGACCTTAAATCCGCCAGGTCAGCGGCGTGACGCAGAGTACAGAAGTCAGTGGTGCAATGCCGAATACAGAGGCCAGCGTGTGACGAACAGTACAGAAATTAGCAGTACAGAGGTCAGTGTGATGCACAGAGGTCAGCGTGACGTACAGCACAGAGGTCAGTGACGCACAGCGCAGAGGTCAGTGTGACACATAGCGCAGAGGTCAGTGTGACGCACAGCGCAGAGGTCAGTGTGACACATAGTGCAGAGGTCAGTGTGACGCACAGCGCAGAGGTCAGTGTGACACATAGCGCAGAGGTCAGTGTGACGCACAGCGCAGAGGTCAGAGCGGTGTAAGGAAGAAAGAAAAGGGACTTACAGTGCACTTTGCTGATGGTATTCAGGTGCTCTCTTCTTTTTGCTGGTGGGGGCGGTATAGAAATCCTGAATGTAGGGAGATAAAAACTTTCTTTTCCTGCGCTGCCTACATTTCTCACTGTCTCTGTAGTCTTCCTCCCAGCCTATGGCAGCTGAGGTGGGCGGAGGAAGCTGCAGAAGACAGCCGCAGGGAAGATAGCGAAATTGAATGTCATCGAGGTGAGCCGTCGTACAGCAGAACACCCGCACTCTACTATCTAATTCTGCTTCACTGGACAAGGCATTTTCTAATTAGTTGTGTTTCTTACTTGTATCTGATGTCACACCATGTCTGGTTATCCATGTGATAATTCTGTATCTTCCTGACTTCGGCTTTGCATGTTTCTGTGGAGTTACAGAAGTCCCCACCTGTGTGGTGGATGATGACGTTCGATACTGGAAGACACATCCTCTTGCATTCGTGGGTGTGGTTCCGGGCTCCCCATTCTTCCCGGCTTATAATAGTAGGACAACCTGTGAATATTGATATGGCTATTAGAAATCTGATTTGAATTTCTGCCTGTGTCCCTGTTGCAGATTTTCCCTCACTTCCTGTCTTTTAAAAATGTTTATCGGCCAGACAGGAAGTGGGGGGGAATCTCTCTAACAGAGCACTGGATAGCAGTAAAACCAGAAAAGAAAACTTGACGGGAGTTTTAACCCCTCACCACTCCAACTAAAAAAAAAAAAAAGGTCTCGCTTTGGATATATTTTAAAGACTGTTAGGTGGACATCTGCAGCAGTTTTACAAGGACTTGTAGGTCTCATTCTTGTATACAGACTGACTATTCTTTATGTAGATAATACTTGATACTGCATGACTTCCGTGTTTTTCCCATTGTAGGTAAAAAAATGAAAGAAAATAACAAAGAAAAATAAAGGGATTCGGCAAATGAGAAGCCCAGAACACTTTTACAACCATAGGAAATTAAATAAAAACGTACTTTCAGCGGCACAGAGCACCGATAGAAGCACAGCGAACCAAATCATGATGATACCAGGACACAGAAAGTCCGATTTTTCTGCTGGAAGAAAAGAATGTTCAAAAACAATAACTGATCCACAAATGTAAAATAACAAATAGTGATATCTAGAGAAAGAGCGACACTGATCCCTAGCACAGCACTGCAATGTTATCTAACTGAACCTGAAATAGACATTAGACGGCCTTTCTAAAATTTTTTGCCCCTGATGAACTCTTTAAATAATTTTCAGGTCTCAGGGAACCCCTTGCTGCAACGAGTTCATTGGGGTCAGAGGGAAAATGTCCCCTATATGCATTGTCAGTAGGAAGAATGCCCTCCTTATGTTACATAGTTACATAGTATATGAGGTTGAATAAAGACATAACTATATATCAAGTCCAACCTATTGTGTGTGTGTGTGTGTGTGTGTGTATATAGGTCCCTGATCCATCTCATTCTTAAGAGTACCTGTACCCCTGTACTTTACGTTCTCTCAGGAAATTGTCTAAAAGCTTCTTGAATGATTCCACACTATTTGCTGAAATCACTGCCTGTGGCAGAGAGTTCCAGACCCTAACCGCTCTAACCTGATAAGAACCCCCTTTCGCCCCTTGTGTTGGAAATTTTTTTCTACCAATTTTAGGTGGTGGCCTCTAGTTTTTGTAATGGAGTTAATTTTAAACAGTTTATCGCTAATGTTGCTACCACCATTGAACATTTTGTACATGGAAATCATATCCCCCCTTAATCTCCTTACTTCCAGCGTGAACATATTTAAATTTAGTAGCCGTGTCTCATAGTTCTGGTCCTCCATTCCCTTAATGAGTTTGGTTGCCCTCTGCTGGACTCTCTCCAGCTTAAGGACATCCTTTCTGTGTACTGATGCCCAAAACTGGACCGCGTACTCCAGGTGGGGCCGAACCATTGATGTGTAAGGTGGCAAAATGATAGACTTGTCCCTGCAAAACATTCCCTTCTTGATGCAGGACAGGACTCTACTAGCTTTGCTTACAGCAGCCTGGCACTGCAATCTATTATTCAGTCTATGGTCTTTAATGACCCCCAAATCTTTCTCCATTTCCGACTTCCATAGCGGGGATTGTATAACACGTTGCTTATTTTTAATCCCAAAGTGCAAAACTTTGCATTGTGTCATGGCTGTTGTGTGGCTCCTTATGTTATTAGACTGGGGTGTCTAACTGTGTGGAAGGAGATTGACCCGGGCAATACAGGAAATCGAGGTAAAAGGAAGTGGGAATGAAAAGTAGGACAGTCATGTGTCATGGGATGGATGGGCACCATGATGATGATCTCCTGGTGATGTTGTCGTGAGGTCTGGTCGTGGTGACATGCGGGGGTTCAGTGGGCAGATGTGGATCCTTGAGAAGAGGGTTTGATAATGGGTCAGACTCGGCATAGAGGAAAGAAAAATACAAGGTGGTCAGAATCTGTGCAAATGTATGAAAAAGAAGTACATTCCTAACTCACCATTGGGTTTATCTGACATTCACTAATTCATTAACCATCACATTTGTTTTCCGCTGCTGAAATGTGTTTTGTTATTGGTGTTGTAGATACTACACCTGTATTTTTGGCAACTTTTGTCTATATTTGTTGTATTCATATCACACCCAGACAAATGCCCTCTAAAATTGAATTTACTCTGGTATGAGAAGAGATAGGGTGGTACTTACGATATATCTGGCAGAGGCTCGTCTGGAATATCTTAAACAGCAATGTGGAGCTACCACAAGGGATGATCAGTCAGCTGTCAGTGTGCATGCCAATCCTGCTGCTCACTGCATCAGCAAGCGGCAATTCTATCCACAGAGAACACAATGTGGAACAATCACTGTTTCCATCTATTTATTGATGTAGACGAAGCCTAGTAAAGTATCGCCAACCCTGTTTCTTGTGTGAACACTCCCTTTCTTTAGATGTTCAGATAACAGTTAGCAGGTGGATCAAACCGCCTGAACCCAGCTTCTCACATACTAGTCCAGAATCTCTCAGTCATTACAATGTAACTTTTTTCTTCCTTGATATGTATTATAACATTCAATACCATGAGTTCATTTATCAGAAAGTAAACTTTAGAGGCTATTATTTTAGCAAGGGAAATATTCACTCTGCAGTTCACGTTCACATAGATTAGTACAGTGTTTTTCAACCTTTTTTGTGCAAAGGCACACTTTTTTCATGAAAAAAATCACGAGGCACACCACCATTAGAAAATGTTAAAAAAATGTACCTCTGTGCCTATATTGACTATATATAAAGACACATGTCCATTGCGTTAAACCTATAGAGATAAGATATGGTGAGCCTGGTGAGATAAGTACCTGCAGCCTGGTGAGATCTGTACACGCAGCCTGGTGAGATCTGTACACGCAGCCTGGTGAGATCTGTACACTAGGGTTGCCACCCGTACGGGAATGACCCGGACAGTCCGGTTTTGGAATCCTGTGCCCGGGTACACTCCTTTGGCAGACCCGGGCACAGGATTCAAGCCGCAGACTTGCTCACCTGACAGCTGGCTGTGAGTGGCGGCGCCGCGGCGGACGGCGACTGTGAGCGGCGGCGGACGGCGTTGTACACAGCCTGGTGAGATCTGTACACAGCCTGGTGAGATCTGTACACAGCCTGGTGAGATCTGTATACAGCCTGGTGAGATTTGTACACAACCTGGTGAGATCTGTATACAGCCTGGTGAGATCTGTACACAGCCTGGTGAGATGTGTACACAGCCTGGTGAGATCTGTACACAGCCTGGTGAGATTTGTACAAAGCCTGGTGGGAAACTGCCCTAAAATCATTAGCCTGTATTGTTTTACAACAAAATGTCACATTTCCCTTTAAGAAAAAGTATCGGTAATTGGTATCGACAAGTACATGAGGGAAAGTACTTTTACTTGGTCTTGAAAAAGTGGTATCGGGACATCCCTACAAGGAAGAGAAACTCAAATCTAAGATTGAGCTCCGCACCTTCACATGGACATACACTTGTCAGTTTCTCTGACACAGAAGGAGACAATGAAACACCAGTAGGATCTGCAACACCTGCGACATCTGCAAAAGATATTAAAGGAGAACTATGGGGTCAGTGTTTTTCCCCATAGTTCTTCTTAGGGTAACGGGAGGACACAAACTAGCGTCCTCCCGTTACCCTAAGCTCAGTATACCGCGAGCTACAGCTCCGGGTATACTGAGACGCCACACCTGGAGCGGATCCCGACGTAGATGGCGGGATCCGCCCAGCTGTGTGACTGACAGCTAGCTCTGCCTATCTAGAGGCAGGGCCAGCTGTACCCGCCCCCTCCCCCGTCCGTTCCGCCAGTCAGCGCTGGCAGATCGGAGCGGGGAGAGGGGAATCCAGCCCTCCCCCTGTCACGGCAGAGAGCTGTGACAGGATCGAGAGGTGAGCGAACGCCGGTATGTGTTCGCTCACCTCCCGATCTACTGAGCCGACCTGTGACAGTCTCATTGTCACAGGTCGGCTAGAACTATGAGGTGAGTGGAAATCAATCACCTCATAGTTCTCCTTTAAAGCTAGAAAAAGAAAACTTGTTGACACTTTCTCTGGTGCCCAGTCATCCACATAAAGAATTGAAGAAATCTAAATCACGTAAATCTTTTACGTGAAACCTTTAGTCTCTGTATATTCCAGTTGTAAACCCCTTGTAGCTTCCTTATTGATGGCGGTCTTGTTAATCACGTACACATTTTGTTTTCTTAGTTTGTGTCATTTCAAGGAATTCAGAGTCAAATCCAGTTGTTCATCCGGGGTATCAGACAATGAACTGTCCTTATATGTGTCTTTATTCAACCTCAAATACTATGTAACTATGTAAATTAACTTGTTCATAGCTTACAATCCATTTCATTAGTTTAAAAGAGGCTTCATCCTGCTCTCCATTCCTGTTTAATCAGACACATCAATGAGAGAATTTTCTTTTTTTGGGTTGTAACTGTGAGGAATAAGTGGCAGGTTTTGAAGTAAATATTTGTTATAATTTACAAATATAAAATGTCACAATCTCCTCCGCATGTAATTGCAAACAGATCCCTGAGGACTGTCACGAGTGATCACCAGAGGATCTCTAAAAGCGCACAGATATTTTCTATGGAAACTTTAGATGATAAACTACGGATCTCTTTTGGAAATTGCAAAAGAGTTTAAATAAAGAAATGCAGTTGTGGTGGGACCTTGAATGTTTTACGAGAGCAGCAGATACCAAGAGGGTTAAAGTGACATTAAAGGCTAATTCCCCCCCATGCTGGTGTAAGGACTTACCTTAAATTAGGGGTGCCCATTAGGTAGATCGCAAAGCGAACACTGGTAGATCGCGATCGGCTCACTGACCTGTGTCCTGTCCTCCCACTGTGCTCGTGCGGCTGAATGTGTCGGACGCCGCAGACTGGAAGGAGAGACGAGAGGAGACTTGGGAAGCTGCTGCAGTGGGGGTAAGAAAAGACAGACAGGAGAGAGACAGCAGAGAAAGTGAGAGAAGAGACAACAGAGAGAGAAGAGATAGCAGATAGAAACAGGGCAGAGAGCGCAGGGAGAGAGGAGAGAGAGAGGAGAGGGCCAATTCACACCACAAAGTTGGAGTTCCACAGTGTTCGGCCGCTAGAACGCATTGGAACGCAAGCCGGCCGGCTCCCTGCGTTCATGGGCGGGAGTGAGCGTGACGGTGCATTGAAGTCAATGGCACCACAGCCACGACCCCCGCCCTCAGTGTGATCGCCCGCACCCGGAACACAGGCACATTAATGCCTGCGTTCTTGTCTAGCCTGATCTGCAAAAATGCAGCATTTTTGAAGATCGCACTGGACTGCAACGCAGGCACTAATGTGCCTTAATTCCGGGTGCGGCGATTGCACTGGGGGAGTGGCTGCGGTGCCATTGACTTCAATGCACAGATACGCCCCTCCCGCCCCTGAATGCAGGTATTTTTCGTTGGTAGATCTCATTGAGCTCAACATTTGAAGAGTAGATCTCCAGACGAAGAATTGGGGGCACCCCTGCCTTAAATGATGCCTCTTGATCCGATCATCTT